AGCCCGGGCCCGCTGTAGCTTCGCTACCTGAAGCATCCCTTCACCCACAAAGACGCGTCCTGGTTGTTAGTTCCTGTCCGGAACGCGAGGCGCTGTGGCCATACAGCTTCGTGGCGAGCATACACTCAAAAAAAAAAAAAAAAACCAAAAAAAAAACCACCAAGCCCAAACCCAAAAAACACCTGAGGACGCGGGGCTCCGTTTCTCCCGGGGCATGGAGAAGCGGGGCGCGAGGCTGCCCCACGCTGCCCCCCACGGGGTCCGCCCGCAGCTCTGCCAGCGGGTTGTTTTTTACGACCAGGAATCGGAAGAATAATAACAATAGGGTGCCTTAAGGGACGGGAGTGCTGTGTTTGTTTATCAATAACGGTTAAGAACGAGAAATGTAAGCATGCGCCCATCTATTTGCCTAGAGCTACGGATTTATGTCAGTGGCCTGACCTCTCCTGGCAGGCACTGCCAGTAAATCACTCGGCAGCAGTCAGGCTGCTGCACTGCCAGTGGGACAAGGCATAAAGCCATAAAAGAAAGAAGATCCGTGACGTAGGTGGACAAAGGAACTCCTTGTCCTGACAGGACTAAGACCTCTGCTAGGGGTTTTAGTTCTGGCTTGTTCTGTTCTTAAACATCTAGTTCAGATTTGATTTTATGCTGACCTTTCCAATTAGATATTTAAGAGTCTTCCATAGCCTAAAATATCAATGATGTAATTTTGTTGTCGCTATTTAATTGCTATTACTGTTGAATATATGCAAGGGATGAGAAGAATGCTTTGCATGTAGTATGGGCAAGATAAAAGTTATTGCAGAAATTCGATACAGTTTTAATTCATGTTCAGCTAGGCAGTGCTGCTAAAAACAGTCAGTCTCATTCATCCTTGAACAGTTAAACTTTCTGGAAAACGGACAAACCGGAAGAAACCTAGTCAGGGAAATTTGTCTTTGTGCCTCTGTGGAGAATATGCTACATATTTATCTGCGGTCTTAAGCACTTTGTCTAATTTGACTGACTTGAATGGAGGTCTAAGCATGCCTTATTCTGTTGGTTTCAGGAAATGTTCTGCTTGTTTGTTGGATCAATTTATAGTACACTAGTTGGGTTTATGCAGTTCTTTGATGACTTAATGCAATGTTTGGTTCATGTGTTGTTTGGGTTTCTCTCCAGGCAGACAAATTGTTGAAAGCACTGAAGCAACACTTTCATGGAACAAAAGCAGAATATGAAAATATGGTAAGTGATGATAAATCAGCCATTCTTTTCGAGGAAGAGAGATCTAACTTTGTAACTAGTAGAGCAGGGGCATGTGCTGAAGGTTTTTTTACCATGATATGAAATTTAATGAAAGTACTTTTTTCTTAACAGGGCCTTTAGTTTAATGCACTCATGTACTGATAGAAACAGATGTGCTAATATTAGCTTTGAAGTGGCCTCCTATATGACCCAAAGCTGATTTCCTTTCAGCTGTCAAAATTAACGATCTATTTTTCAGCATCAGTACAAAACTATTCTCTGTGAACACTGACATTTAATTTGTTGAACAAATCTTAATTCTTGCCTGTTTAGCTCCAGACACTAGTCAGTACTGAATATAAAAATATTTCAGTCCTTTTGCATGCCTAGATGAAATGGATCAGATGCTCATCGGAAAACATTGTGAACCTACTACAATTTAGTTACACTGACAGTATAAAGAAAGTGACACAATTGTGATGTTTCCTTTATTCATCTCTTAATGTATTGTTTTCTTAACTTTTTTTTAAAGTTTTCTCTTCTGTAAGCTGAATTATTTTGTTGGGTATGGCAATGTTTTTTTACTTTTTTGATAGAAAGTAAATTGGGATCTGCTTTTTTTAAAACACACCTCTTCTTTAAGCGCTTCCTTTAAAATCTTCTTTAAAGGTTTGAGGAACTGGTGTAATCCTTGTCAGCTTATTTTTAATTTTAACAAGCATGGAAGAGGCTCTGATTTTTTTTTTTTGGTGAAGAGTATTCCACAGAAACATACAAATCTGGGAGGGTCACAGCATCATGCAAGTCAGATTTCAAATATAAAGTATTAGTTTTTTATAATCTTATTAAAATGCTATATAAAAAAACCCCAACTGTAGGACTTCCTTTTAAAGTCTTCAAACAAAGAGCTTTGATGTTTAGGGAAATCTAGATATTGCCAATTTCTTGATTATTATGCTACTAAATGGCACGCTACTGTTTTTCTTCTGTGTGCAATACTTTTTCCAATAATAAAATTGAAACTGTCTCTTTGGAGTATCTGATTTATATTTGTGTCAGATATGTTCCACATTATAGTATTTTTCTGCTACAGGACTCTGAAAGTGCATCTGCTTCCATTGAATCGGATGAAAGGAGCAATCAGGAGGAAATTATGCCGGATTCAGTGTGTTTTATTACAAAACGACGTGGTAATGAAAAGAAAATAACCAGAAAAAAGAGGAATTCCAATGAGGAAACTAATACCAGTGAAGAAAATACAGGGTTTCCTGCTGGGAAAGAGGTGATTTCCATTGCTTAGTTTTGTGTGCTGGCCACCCCCTTTCCCCCAAGCATAATTTAAGCATACTTGATTTATTCTACCACCATTTAGCAGGTAGTATATATTTTATATATGTGTATGTGTGTGTATATGTAAGAATTTCATATGCAAACGTTCTGGTACCAGTCTTCTGTACTTCTGTACTGACTATATGCTATTCCATAATGGACAGAGATTACTTGTTAGTTGTTACTTCAAGGAAATAAATTAAATTCCTCTAGCAAATATACAATCCAAACACTTTATCTGAATGTAAGACTACTTTCACTAGTTCATCATAGTATTCTGAATATTAGACTAGTTTCAGCATTTATCTAAAGTAAGGCTGTTTTCAGTTTCTTTATATAGAAAAAAACCCAGAAATTGGATGATTGCCTAAACCTTGCAATTTTTTAATTCCCACTCCTCTCAGTGGGTTCTTTATTCATGGGTTGTATGACTGAGGGAAGGGAAGTTTCAAGGTGTGATGGGGGTAGAATAATTTTTCTCTAGGATAACATGCAAGTAGTGGGTGAACTAAGAACAGTGTGAAAGACTTTTACTGGTTTAGAGGAGGGAAACGAGAAGATGAGGAGTATTAGTCTGTTAGTGTTAGAGAATTGTACAGTTACCAAAGCTACAACAGTAAAAAGTAACATAGCTAGTGAATTTATTTTTACTTGCAAATGATTAACGTGTGTTAATAAAGGCAATTTTACACTAAAATGTTAGAGCTGTGCAGGTAAAAGCTTTCTAACAGAGACCTGTTTGTGAAATAACAGTGTAAGTATTTCATGGGTTAATTCAGGTTGGACTTCAGAAAGTCTCTTGCTCAATCTCCCCATCAAAGCAGGGTCAGCTGAGGTTAGACCACAATGCTTAAGGCGTTATCTAATCTGATATTGAAAACATCTAAGGATGGAGGCTATGCAACCTCTCCAGGCAACCTGTTACACTGACTGACTGTTCTCCGACCAACAGCCTTTCTTTATATCCAGTCGGAACAAACTGTTCAAATGAAGTATGTTTAAACTGCAGGAGCATTCTGAAATGAAAGAAAATGAAGTGCCTCAGGGTGAGCCTGAAAAGGGACAGAAGGTATTCCAAAAGGAGGAACAAGTAACTAAGAAGAGAGCTTTTGAGAATCCAGGGATGGGTACTGGTCAGAAAGAGCAACCAGAGAAGACTTCTACTAAAAGTAGTGGAGATGAATGTAAGTAGAAAATTAAAAAAAAAAGTAAGTTTAGTAATTTGTACTACTTAAAATGCACCTTTTGGTTATTTTATTGTGTCTGCAAAGATTTTTGTGGCATGTCTGGTGATCGGTACCTTATTTGGGGATACCAGGAAAAATCTGTCCCGTTTGTGTACTTGTTTGTTTAACATTGTAACATAAATCCTCAAATTTTGCAGTGTAGGAATAATGCTGGTTTTGACTTCAGAACTCTGGACCTGATGTTTTTAGTGAAGGAGTTCTCAAAGGTCTGAGTGTATTTGAGTCTTGTACCTCGCTTGGGATCAGTGCCTTTTGGAATTTCCCAGAGATGCTACTTGGCTCCTTTAAAAAGTGGCAAGAAAGGGAGAGCTTCCTTCCTCATGCTTCATTTTTCGTTTCCTACAGATGAAAAGGTTTTGTCATTTTCTTCCCAGAAGTAAAATTAGTACAAAAGGATATACAGACAGAATCCTTTATAATTTGTTTAAACTGCCTAACAATATCTGAATGTATTACAGTGGACCATTTTTCTATCTGGTGGCTTTTTTAGACCTTCAAACATGATGCCGCTGAAAATATGAATTCATTGGTCCCCTACCTTCGTGCATACAGCTGACATGAAGGAATGAATTTGCCCAATTTGATAATTTATTGATATTGTGGGTCTGTCAAATAAGAGACATACCATTGTTTGCTCCTGTTAGACTAAGAGTATGTAGTCCCTGAGCTGTACTATGGATATTCTTGCTGTTCAGTAGAATTGACAGGGACATTCTCATTGGAGGCCACCTATAATTTTGAAACCAATTTAGAAAATGAGGATTTTCAATTAAGGTTCTTTTAAAAAAAGAAGCAATAGAATAGGTAGAGGATGCTTTGGTTGAGGCAGCATTCATCCTGACAGTTGGCACAGTACTCGTCTCTTCCTATAACTGTAATTATAAGTATCCATACTGCTTTCTGTTTTTTTGTTTTGTCTTTCTTTTTTTCAGTAATTTCAGACAGCAAGAGCTGTGTGACTGAAATACATCTGCATTTAGTGTTGAAGAGCTGATTTTTCAACAATTATTTTCAACAACCCTCCATTACTTGCTTCCAGTGAGGGTTTCTTTCAATATATTGAGGTCATCCAAGTTTACTTTAAAGGGGATGTGAATTAATAGAAAAGCAAATGTTTGCTTTCAATATGCAAATATTTAACTCGATGTGAAGTTTTTACCTGATTTTTTCTCTTAATAAAATTAATCACTAAAATGTGAACATGAGCTTAATACTATGCCTGAGAACAGAGATGATAAAAAGGACTTAGACTCTGTATATATGTATAAGGCAGTGGCAGAAAAGCTGGCCAAAAAGCTATTTCTTCTTTGTTATCAACATTTAAAAAACACTAGCTTATTAAACAGATCAAGACCTGTGAATTTAAAGTTGTTCTTGCTTACCACGAGCACAGTTCTCTTGTTAACTTCCTCTGTAAAACACTTTACTGTCAAAAGAAAATAACCTAGTAGGACTGTAAGATTCACGCAGGGCTTGTAGTTTGTCAAGCCATGCTGTTACTGACATACCATTTAAAAGGCTTTTGAGAGACTTAGGACAGATCTGTTCCAGCTGATGTTTTTACTTCTCAAAACCTAAACCCACTTTGAGGAGATAAGGTGTCTTTTGCAACAAATACTTTTAAAAAGGTTGTGATGACATTAAAATATTTTCCAGGAGTTCTAATGATTTCATCTAATCTTACTGTACCAGGTGATGCTTGTCATGCAGGAGGGAAGATCCCTTTATATGTAGGCCGTGCATCTAGGTCTGGGAAAACAGGAATGAAAGCTACTACACCAAGTAAGATAACCTACTGTCTGGATGTATTATTGTCTGTGTGTGAAGGGAGACTTGACTTGCAGTTTTTTTACAACCCAGATTTCTATTTCTGCTTGAAGAAGAGAACATCCTCTTTACAAAGGAAGCAAACAAAAATAAGTTCCCAAAGGTTACATTTTAAGGTGTATCTTCCAACTCATAAATTCATAGTAGTAAATGACTCGCAAGTATGTTATAAAACTGGTTTATGGAACACTTTGATGTCTTTTGGATATTAATACTTGCATTCATTATTTTCAAAACAACAAAGAGCAGGAAGACATGCTGTAACTCCTGCTTGTTTAGTTTTCACTTTCTAAATACTACTGTTGTACTGTATTACTACACATTAACTCATTTTCTTCACCTCGTAAAATACATTAATTCGTTTAGAATTTGGAAGTATTTGGGTTTTTTCTGTAACTGCAGAATTTGGGGGTTGGACTAGATAATCTTTAAAGGTCCCTTCCAACCCAAACCATTCTATGATGCTATAATTCTCCAGAGCATGCACCAGGTAACAGCCTATGTAGTTGGTGAAGTAGAACCTGTGTGTACACAGCCTTTATTTAGAAGGATATGGTTTTTTCTTTTTTTGAGGCCGTAACGATAGGTGTTGCAAGATTCTTCTATTAAGTAGTAAACTTCCTTAGGAGCTTATCAGATATGTGACTCTTCTTATTTTTGGAACTTCTTAGACTTTAAAAAGTTGCATGAGGCTCACTTCAAGAAAATGGAATCTATTGCTGACTACATTGAGAGGAAAAAAAAAATGATTGAAAACTGCAGCAGTTCTCTCAACGAAGTCAAGGTAAGTGATAACACAGGAAGATATCCATTGTTCCCATATTCATCCATCTCCAGAGCCTCTTTGCAGAAGTCCTGTAGAGTCTCTCTAGAGCAGCAAGTCGTTGGTTGTGTGTACATGCAGTGCAACGTTATGATCAGTGAAACTTAACTGCAGTCCTATATAACTAGTTATATAAACTATACAAGTTATATACAAATAACTATATATATTTAACAGTGTATGGCTATAAATGGTTATAGGAACCGACAAGTAACTTGTCAGTTTTGAGTAAAAATAATTATGTCACAATTACTTTTGTGAAGGATCTCCTGGAGCTTTTGCTTACAACTGTTTGAATTGCTGCAGAACTTAACCAAGGGGTGGGTTAGTTTTCAAAGAGCAGAAATTAAATATTAAGTTCCTCTTTTTGTGCCTTAAAGAACAATTGTCCAATGACTGTGTATGACTCTCCTTTAAAATATACATAATATATGTTGTTCTCGGTGGCGCCGATTCTCAGTTTTTGTATTTCATGCTTGCGTGGGTGAAAGCTGCTCATAGGGCCTCTTTCAGAGTGTGGCAGACCTTAGAAAACTGACAGTGATGTGTCAATGAATGTCCAAATGAGTATGTCAATGGGTATATCAAAACAGTAACATTGAAACTCCCGAATGCTACGTTTCCCTTTTCTAATGGCATACAGGGTATCGATGTATACTTAAGACAAATTACTTTTGGCAGGTGCTGGCCAAAAAATCGAATCACTTAAGAGCATCAGAAAAAGGCACTCCACATAACAATTCTAAGGTATGTGTTTTCAGATCAGTTTATAATAATAAAACTACTTATGTTTAAAATAGCTTTTAAAGAAAAAAGGGAAAAACTGAAGAGACTGTACACTTCTGATTCACTGTGTATTTTCCCTTCCTCTTAGCTGCTTTTCCGATAAATTTTTACCGGAGTGTGCTAACTCATGATTTGCTTTTCCCTAGAAACAAACCATTGGCAAAACATTTTTATTCAGCCCAAATCCAGAAAGAGGCAGATTCTCCGCCACCTGCACTCCCAGTAACATCCGGCGCTCACCACGCAGTTCTCTGAATGCTGCCAATAGGAGTATTTTATCTAGGAAATCTTCGTTTAATCCCTCTGTCCTTTCAACAACCAAAATGAATGTCAGGTAAAAAGAACAAACCAAATCTACCAGTGAGCAATTTGGTATGATACACATGAAATAATCAACACTGGCTGTGATTTGACTACATTATATCTATTCCAAACATGAACTACATGAGACTAATTCTGATTACTAACTTTCAGTCTAGCTTTATGGCTGGTTTAAGCCTTACTGTGCTTGATTCTTCATTTTGATGTCTGATGGTAGAGGAATCTTGCCTCTCTTTCAGCTTTCATTTTGCTAAACCAACCGAGCACAAATTGTTTTTCTTCTCTTACTGCGTTAGGTTTTCCATTTTGTCAGGCAACCTAATAGTCTGTGTTATATCTGAATTAATTTATCTTTGAGATTACTTAACCAGAAGTGTATGCAGTATTACAGGTGAGTCTCACAGCGGACTCATAGAATCATAGAATGCTTTGGACTGGAAGGGACCTTGAGAGATCATCTAGCCCAACCCCCCCCTGCAGTGAGCGGGGATTGAATCCGTGACCCTGGGGTTATTAGCACCACACTCTAACCAACTGAGCTAACCCGGCTGGTTGTCATTTGGGGGGTTTTTTTGGGTGCTCTCTTTTCCTTCTCCCCCTCCTCCATGTCACAGCAGGGGCTCATCTTGTGATTGACTACTATAAGCAGATCGTTTCTAGCAGATAGGAACCAAGTTGACACCCGAAAGTCATGATGAATTGCTAAATGAATGAGCTCATACTCAATGCTATTAAACCTCATTTTCTTTTAAAAAGCCACATGCACTTCATTATCCCTACACAGTAATCTAATTCTCTATTATGTTAATATTTCCTAAACTTTTGTTATCTGTAAATTTTATTAGCTTATTACTAGTTTTTCTGAAGTCTTGAACAAAAAAACCTTTTAAAAGAAGGAATCAAAAGGATAGTCCATATGGTACTCCATTGATAAATGCTCTTTTGCCCAGTTTTCTTTGCAGTGAAAGTCCTTGTCTCTGTTATTTCTTCGTTGGTTTCTAACTATTGTACTAATTCCAACTTTATCCAGTTTACTTAACTTTCCACAGTGACTGAAGCACAGATTTAGATATTCTATAATTTAGCCTTATCCTTTTCCTCCTGCTAACAACATCTGGTTAATCTCAGGTCTCAGTTGTGTTACTTTCTATTTTTCTGATAATCTTCACTTCTCAACTTTTGCATGAAATGATTATAGCTGCTGGGACTTTTTTGTCCCTGAATAAAGTGGTGGTGGGGGGGTTGTTACTATTAAGTCAGATAGTGTGACTTCTAATATTGACAAGTCCTAATAAATAATTATGGGATTTGTAGTTTTTGCATGCAGTTCTTTTGCTATTCAAAAGTCAAGATTATAGATTGTTTGTAAAATCAAGTTCATAATCTTACTGGCTTTGTTCCTACTTTGAATGTGCTATCTTTGATTTCAATAGCTAACAACAAATGAAAACAATATTCATGCTGCCTCTGGTTCGATGATCTCTATTGTCTTCACCGCAGCCCTACTTGATTCTTAGCAATATGTAAACCAAAACAATGCTTTTAGAATTGGCTTCCATTCCATTAGTCCAAAGATGTGCTGAGGTGGATCTTGCAAGCTGCACTTCATCCATAAACTTGCTAGGCATCAAAACATAGCTTTCTTCAACATTTACTCACTGTCTTTCCGTATCTTGCAGGCTTTCAGCTTATTCTCAGTACCTTTTTGATAAGGCTATTACTTCATGCAAGACTTTGAAATTTCTTTCATGTGTTTATGTATACGTACACACATATATGTATACACACAAGTTCAAAATGTGTGTATATACACACATACATACAGCACATGTGTGTCTTGGTATGCAGGTAACTTGTGTGTTTTGACTAAAATTTCCAGCTTCTTCCTCTTGTAGATCTTTGAGTTCTAGAGTTCTGTTAGTTAATTTGCTTTTAGTTTTTCTTAATTTCAGTTTTCAAACTAACAATATTTATATGTAGTGTTTATAATGTTTTACTACAGAATCCAAATCTGAAGTAAATCATATCTGTTGGTGAAGAAATCTACTAGCTTCTTGCATCCAAATATATTTGCTCTCCAAAATAACAAGGAAGTCAGTTCTTTGTAATTCCTGATATTACTTACTGCTATTGATGATAGCTCATACCTTTGCTGGCAGTTTTCAAGTTATCTTTAACGTTGTTTATGCATAAGCTGTGAACATCTTAGTAACTGTCTACCTCTAAGAAAGGTAGAACACAGAACCTTCTGTATTGTCACATTGCTTACATTCCTTGTAGATGACTAATTTTGTCTTCATATTTCTAATAATTTTCAGGTTCTCTGAAGCCACAAAAGATAATGAGCATAAACGCTCTCTTACCAAGACTCCATCCAGAATGTCTCCATACTTGGAGGAGCTCTGCACACCTGATAGCCAGAAGAGCTGCAAACTAATAAGTCGGAGAAACAGCAAGGGAAATGCAAAAACTAATGATCTGACTGCATCAAAAGGTAAAGTGGACAGTAAATATTTGGCTTTTTTGAGATCATGACCTTTGTCTTATTTATATACATTTTTAAATAACCTAATGTCATGTAGACCCAGGGTTTAATTTCATTCCTCTAATTTATGACTGATTCTTTAGAAACTGCAGTAGTTTCTTTGTTTCCTTTGGTTTTCAGTGCTTTGACTAAAATGGTTAGGTGCTAAGACTTAAACATATGGTACCCAGTTACCTACAGAAAAGCCTAATACAGGATGTAGGAGATAGTCCCTGAAGGTCTAGAATGATTTCTATGTAGCAAAAGGTTCATACAACAGGTACAGGGAGCTCCTGTCTGTGGTGAGAGGAGTTCCTGATGCCTTCTCAGAGACCTCATTCTCCTTGCAGGATTGGCATGCACCAGGCTTCTAGCTGTGTTTTTAGGACAACCTGTTATTATCAGGCTCAGCAATCCTGACTAACTCAGGAACTAAAGCTCTGTAAGAAAACAAAGTCTTCTGACTACTAATGATCTCTGCACCAGCACAGCTCTGCTATCTAACAGTTGATACCCTAGCATCACAGGTACATTAGCACAGGTCAAGAACCCAGAGTTGCCTGTCTTGCTGTATGACGATACTGATTTTTTGGTTTTAGGGGGAAAGATCAGTAGTGGAACTTTTCAGAAGCTGGTGTCTTCTGAAGAATGCTTCTTTTTTTTCTAATGTGAAAATCCATTTTGTTCCAAATAACCATAGAGACTAGGGAACACTATTTGCTCTGAAGGACTAGAAAAATACATGGAGCTATATATGCCTATTGCACAGCACAATCGGAGCAAAAGGGCTAATACTCTACAACCCTTGCTCTCTCCAGACCTGAAAGCTCCTTATTTCAAGTGAGCTGTATTTGTGCAATTCTGTCTTTAGAGGTAACAGATGGTAGCATTTAATGGCTCTTTGGTCTTGGTAGTTGTAAGGTGATCTTCACAGGCACTTTCTAAGGTGCTATGTACAGTGATGTTCTTGCTGCTATAATGAAGTATGGTATCTTCATGCCTTTTGTAGTTGTCACTCCCTTCAAGTTTGCAGCTCACTCTGCAGAACCCACAAGCACAAAGAAGACATTTGACCTCAAAGCAAGTCTCTCAAGGCCGCTTCGGTATCAGCCACATAAAGGTACTGTGATCCTGTGCAGTTTGCATTGGTCACACCCCTTATACTCAACTGCTCATGAAGTGAGGCATTGATACAAGCCATGACACGGCAAAGTTTTCAGTCTCTTTTCCTGTCCCTCTCCCTTCCTTTGTGGATTCCCACGCAGTCTGTGGACTGATGTCAAATTTCTACATAATATATGCTTTAAGAGCCTCCCTACTGAAAAATAAGTCTTTATGACCAAAAGCCCATAAATATAAGAATAAACATCCTTGTATTCCACTGAATAGATGTATGTATAGGAAATATGAGATATTCCTTTACAAAATGAGGCTGTTTGTCTGTTTTTTAAAAAGGGCACTATTGTGTGAGAAGCTGAACTTTGTGTGGTGAGTAACCTTGTAAGTACAGTCACCTGTTAGTACTTACAGAAAAAATACTTGTAGCGAATGAGCTGGTGAAACTGTTAATACAGCTGAAGAGGCATTTCATCTTACAGTCAACCAGCAAAAAACCCCGAGGCTAGCTAGTATAAAATTCACAGTAAGATGTTAAGCACACAATTAATAAACTAGTAATTCAGTAGTCTCTCTTTTTGCCCCTAAATTGTAGGACGACTAAAACCTTGGGGAGAATTTAAAGAAAATACTGTCCTAAATAAGTCTGTCGGTAGCAACATCTCTTCACATAAGAAAGATTACAAACAGCCACATCTCCAGACAAGGTTAGTACATGATTAACTTTTTTTTGAATACTGTCACTTAATATGATGACTTACTTTGTCTTTTTAGGATTTAAATACGCAGTTCAGGAAAGAATACTTTTATATTAAAGCAATTTTTGCTTCCAGTAGTCTGTCTAGTATCAGGAAGGCCAACAAAGAAATCAGCTCTGAATCCGATCGACTTTTATTCTATGAAAGCTACCAATTCTAGCATCTGGAGATTTACTTTCACCTTGGAAGAAGGTGTGAATATTGACATGCTGTCACCTTCTGTGTCAGACCTATACATCTAAGTAGAAGTATTAGTCTGAATGTTTGGATCCCGTCCAAAATGAAACTGTTCTCTCTGCCCATGGCAAACGCAGCACACTGGTTAAAGAGATGTTAAGTGTTGGTCAGTTTCACATTCCTTTGGTTGCTTGTGTCTCTACCTTTAATATAACTTGATATGGTCTGTCTCTCTTCTTTTTCCCCTTCAGGGAAGAAAGGCGTGAGAAACATGAGCAAGAGAGAAAAAAGAAAAAGGCTCAGGCTCTCGGAAAACGTAGAGGACTATCTGTGGGTGAGGAGGAATAAGAAATACCTAAGAAATCACTGTAAATACTGTTCCTGTCATGTAAATATTTGTGCTGTCTGTGTATGGTTTGGGTTGCTGTTAGCTAGTGGAATCCAGAGAGCATTGAATGAGACCTTAAAATGCATCAAGCGTAATGTTTTAGCAATCAACTTCTCTGACTAGATGAGAGTTCTAAATGTTTAGGAACTTGGAACTATCTCTCGTTGCTTAATAATGTTTTCATTTAACTAACTCATTTAACTGAAGATGTTAAAGGAGAAAATGTAAGTGGAAGAAAGATGCTCAAGAAGCCTCCCTGCAACTTAGGACAGACTTCTCCACCAGAACACATTTGTTACCCACTAGAATGCACGCTTTGGACAGCAAGCTTCAAAATGTTCCACTGGTAAATTACAGGAGTTAGAGATGTCTGTTTGCCCTGTTCTCCAACTCAATCCTTAAATTCTGTAGCAACCATTACAGCAATTATTCAGCATTTCTAACTGCATGCCTATGAAGTAGTAGGGAATGTCCAAGGCAAGAAAAAATATGCAAGCTCTCCAGAAAACTGGAAGCTTACAGCATAATATAATTGTAAAATACCATATTTTTAAAAAGTTACAACTGAAAAGTGGCTTTACAAATTGCCAACTGGATGCTTTGTACATGCTTTGTTTTGTTCCTTTCTATGGTAAATAGCAGATGTTAACAAAAGTCTTCTGCTTTTCATCTCTACAATGCTTAAAAGAGGTTATAGTAGTGTTGAGGCACATTCAATACCTTAGATTGAAAAGCTGTTGTTATTGTTCCTTTTAAGAAATACATAGAAAAGCTGTCTGGATTTATTATGAATGGTACTGGAAAGGTAATTTAGTAGTTGTAATCTCAACTAGAATTTTGAGCAAAGAATTGTTTTGGTGAATTTGGTATCCTATCAAATATATGTTGAAATGTCAAGAATAAGCAATTTTTTTTTTTATAAACTTAATGGGGGGGAAATAAATATTTTGTATATATCCTGTTTATTACTGGTTATATCATCTAGTGTACTATGTATAACTATACCTCCTTAGCGTAGCACTAGTTTTATTCACACTTGTATTTACTACTCAATGTCTTTTTGTAACGAGTTTTCCTTAGTGATTAGCCTGCCTACCACTTTATGAAAGCATGTTTGTTCCAGTATCTTTAGAAATCATAACCATCACTCCTCTTTTGCTCTTAAGCTATTTGATTCTGTGCAAGAGGAAAATGATAGTACAAGACACTGCTTCAACTTCCTTTATTGTGGCCCCTTCTGTGTAAAATATAGGTACATTTAGTATTTGTACACTTAAACAAGGTCACTGCAGAGGAGGTCAGCACTTTGATTAGACTAAGTTTGTGACAGTTGAATGAAACCATTCAGCACTTGTTCTTTAAAGTGTTTCTCAAATTACTGAAAACCAGACTTCTCAGAAAAAGGGAGGTATTGAGCTGAGGCTGTGACTTCTCACAATACAGCTGAGTTAAGCTAATTGCACACATCAGAAAAGCGTGATCAGATCTGCCCTGTAATGGCAGTAATCAAGTAGAGCTGTGCCTCCTCAGGGAACAGACAGTGATGACTTCCAACGTTGGAGCGTTACTTCGGTTCAACAACTCTATAAAGCTGTAGGACTATCATCAACAGCTCTAAACAAAAAGCCAAGCCCACAGCATAGCTACTGTTTCAATTTGGCAGTGGCAGCTTTTTCTTTTTTTAGTTATTCAGAGGAGCCAAAGCTAAAGATTGAAATACTTCTGCCTTTTCCACTCCTGGTGCTGCTCTTTCTAAATTTCAGCGGCTGAGTCACACTTAAGCACCATTCCTCAGGGTATTAATTCTCATCATACTTTTTCCAGTTTAAAACTAGTGGATATGGATGTTTTATAACTGTCTCCAAACCATATAATGTAGAAAATGAAGCTGTTGTACAAAAAAGAACTACAAGCAGCTCATGAAATACTTCTATTTCTGTAAAGGTCAAGACAGAAGCCAAAACTTACCCAGTCAACAGTTACTACTTTATAAGAACGCATCACAACTCTCCTCAGGCTATGTTCCAGTCCATGTATGTACAGTCTCTCCAGGATTCTGTATTTGGCAGCTCGAAGATGCCAACAGTGTCACTCTAGTCAGATTACTAGTCAACACTTCACACACTGATCTCTTTAATGTTTACACAGAATCTTCAAGTTGTTATAAGCCACACATTAAGAAGTGTTTTATAAAAATGAACCGAGCATCTGAAGAATGTCCCAAAGGATACCAGCCTAACTTAGACTTGAGGATTCTTTTCATATGTTTCATACGCAAATTCTTCTGTATGAGCTCTATCGTTGAGCAGGCCGATAAAATCAATCTCCAGCTGGAATGGACCATCTACTTTATCTCCGATCGTGAATCCAAGGGTACTAATCTAATTAAAAGATGTGTACATTAGAACAGTATAATGTTACAATTGAAACCAATTATATCTACCACTTCCATATTTTACAAAAAATTCATGGCCATTCACTGTAAACAGTGGTGTTTGTTCAAAGTGCAGCATTATTTCTTAAGGCTTAAACACTTCGCTACCACATTTTCAATATAGACCCCAGTGGGAACGGCCTGAGCCTAAAGCAGCGCTGCAATTTTTATCCTCCAGGGTTTGTGTATGGCCAGTTTCATCACGATTGAGCGTACAGGCACATTTTCATAGAGCCTATTACAATTCTTATGTGAGCAGAAAACACAAACATAATGTAATTAAGGATGGAAGGGGACTTTCATTCTAGATCAAGTCATACATATAGTGTATGTGTGCACTAAACCAGACATTTTAAAAATGCATGAAACTTTGTTACTGAGTTTTATATTAAGGCAAGATTCTTAGCCACTGTTTCCCAATTAGAATAATGTTCTTATATTTAAGAACATTCCTCATTCCTTTCCCCTAATGTTCTCCACTATTCCATTTAAAAAAAAAAATTATTCTAACTAATAAATTCCATAAAAATCTGTGTGGCTCAGGCATGCTTCCTATTAGCCCGTGGCTTGCCTGAAAGCTCTCAGCTCCTACATGTCACCAGTCACCTTTCAGAGGCTCCAGTGCTAGCAGTTCTCAAACAAGCTGGGTCACCAGTGGCAGGGCACCTCTTAAGCTCCAGCTGCCCCTAAGCCCTGCTACCAGTGCAGCTGTACCCGGGATTTTAAGGACTGCTGCACACGCAGGAAAAAAATACCTAGGATGTGTCAGATAAAGTTGAATAATTGTAGGCTGAGGCTAAATATGTATCGTAAGTGTACGCTAAATAAAGAATAGAACAAAGCTAAAGAAGTTAAATGCATTGACATTCCTCTCGGATCGTTCTAATGTTTTAAATGCCGTCTCTTCCCCAGAAGCAAGCTCTACAATCAGCCCCTCGGCTTCTGGAGCCTGGAGAGGCTTTAAAGCTCTGACTTTCTGGTTCATACTGTTACAGATGACTACGGGAGTCACCTAAACTCTCTGCTCTGAAGAATTTACTCCTTTGCAAGCCCTAGATACGTTGGCTATTTTCTACCTATGAAAAGGCAACAATGCCTTTCCTGGTTCCTGGGAAAACATACAGTAATACCATGAGGGACCAAGACATTTTATCAAGATTTCTCAATTGCCTTCACACCGCTTCCCCTATTTTCAGGTTTCACTAAAATACATTTGTAAAATTACACTTCGTATTATGTGCAAGTGCATTGTTTTTACTGTGAAATACTAAGCATAAGATAACAAGGAATGAAAATTAAGTGGAGGATGCTTAGATCAAATATCGTTTTGGCCCTTTAACTCCTGGTAAATACTTTTAAACACCCCATATACAACTTTATGTTTTCATTTTGAATGACTGTATATTCCAAACCCTGATAAATTATTTGGTGTCTGTATTTAAACACAGGCTCTTTATAACAACTTTCTTCCATGAAGCATGTATTTTCTTGTAGTTGATCCACCTTCTTCATATCGTTCATACTTGCTTTCTACAGTCTCAACTACTTCTGTTTTAAAACAGATTGTTTTCATGCTGCCAGTCACTGAATTGCCCTCAATTTTTTCCTATTTTTTTTTCATTAAGGCAATTAGGAACTGAATGCAACATTCCAGATGACTAACACTGATTCAAGTAATGGGCCTTTTATTTTCCCCGCCATATATATTTCTAGCACTGTTTTTCCTTTTGCTAGTCACTGGGTATTAAGCTGCCCTCAATTACATACAGGAGGATCACTGAAATTTAAAAGAAGAAAAGATACAGAAACAATTTTTTCCAACATCTCTCCTCCCGTGAATCAGTGAATTAGTCTACCTATTTGAAGAAACAAATTAAAAAATAGTCAATTTTAATTTAATTAATTTTTAAAAACTCATTTACTTAATACTTAGACTAGAAAGCCTGGAAAAAAAACTAAAAAAGAGCGTATAAATACATCAGTTTACTGCTCACCATCAAGGTCACTGATACAGTATATCCTCAAATAAAATCTCACGATATTATATCCTTTACAGTCTTCTGTCAGGAAGGAAGTTTATGATACTTTTATTATTTTTAGCAGTACTATGCCAACTGGCACTTTAGATTTTAGTCACTTTGATCATTCCTCAAAAAAAAAATCTTTTTTTTTTTAAAAAGCTAAGTAAGTTTTGAGTTGTTTCTTGGTTCTCTAGATCTCTTAAAAGTATTTTTGGAGCTACTTTGAAGTAAACTGACACTGCTACCACAAAGTAGGATAATTTAAATGCAAAGGCAAGCACACAAGAATAAGTACCTTATAACAAGAAGAGGCCCTTCAATTTCAAATTCACAAAGGATTTGTAAATTATATCATGACAATGTACTCTTAAAGGATTTTTCAGACAGATAGAGCCTACAGAAAACTTGCCTTGTCTAACCAGATAGGATGCTGGTCATCCTGGACTCTTCCCCGACTGGAGAGAAAGAATTTGGAGAATGGAATCTGATGGAAACAAAACCAAACCAGACTTCAGTGTAACCAGTACATAGAATAAAAACTTAAGAAATATAACCCCTGCCTCAGTAAATGAAATAACACTCTGCTGCATCTGGTACCAGCACTGGCTGGGTGCGTAGAACTGGCACAGAGAAATGGGCCACATTAACCCTTTCATTAACCACTTGCAGCCAGCTCCAGCCCCACACCGTTCCACGGTGGCCGTTTGTAGCCATTGTGCAGGATTGTTACCCTGTCAGGACAGGCTGCAGCACAGAAGGTGGCTGTTTACATCTAGAATATGTCCTTCCAATAATATGTCAGTATAAAATAGAAATTAATGAAAACTCTAGCATACATGTCTATTGTCAGCTCGTCTGTACCCAAGCTGTGTATTTCATAGGGCAAACTTCATACTGAGACACCAGTACTCTAGCAAAGCAGTTCAGAATAACGTAAAAATTACTTTGAATGCAGTGGGAGCAAGAAAGAGGAGGGGATGTGATCAGAGATAGGAAACAGGAGGGTTGGCTGGTGTGGGTGAGAGAGAAAAATATGCGAGCCAGCAACGACACGCTGATTTCCATCCTCCCGCCTCCTCACCTCTGAAACAGTGGGCTGTTCTCATATGACTGGACAATGGTATTATGAAGCACTGAACGCCACTTCATAAGGATGTGCAAACTTCCTTAATGTTGTCATCAGCAAATTACAAAAGTTCCCCAAGTTTCATCAGGAAAAAGAGACGGTATATTCTTACAAATATTATTTTGTGTCACAGATTCAAAGGCCGTAAGTGACAAACCACATCTTTGAGTCTCTGACTCCAGCGAGTTAGTGCGTTAAGCAAATCCTGTTGCAGGGTACAAATCCTACTCCAACCTATGTCCATTTGTATTACAGATAAAATGGTTATCACAGAGAATATTCCCGGCAACACCTGCTAAGCTCCAACCGCTCTATCTATTCTCTTACTCCAGTAATAGCTAACAGCAGACATTCAGGTGAACATATGGTGGATCAAATCTTTAATACAATTGACACAGCATGCCCTGCCACAATCCGGTGATTTACAATTTTGGGAACTCCCAAGCCAAATGCCCATGTCTATTGTATAAAGATAGATAACAGAAACATTGTTGAATGGACAGCAATAACAGTCACAACAAACTGTGACTGTTGAAAGAATTCCCCTTCCACAGTGCTATGGCCAGGACCCCAAGACAGTCTTGTTAGTTGGAAAGACGCATTAATTCACCTTTATTTCCTCCCAGTATGGGCCTCCTCGGGTGAACATGAAGTAGTTGTAGAGGTCATCCTTTTGATGAGAGAAGTAAGGGTCTGTATAAATGTTTACCATCCAAGGTCTGCCATCCCCACGGACACGTAAATACAGACTGTTGAAGTTTGACCAGTCATAATACTTCTTCCTAGCAAAGGATCCCTACAAATTATTAATAAATAGAATTATTCCTCCTTAATAAAGGGAAACTTCCATTATGAAGAACAGAGCACCATTGCTTTGACCACTGCCCTCATTCTTACATCAAATAGTATCTGCTGCGATATAGTGAAGACTAGGTTACCCTTTCATCATACTAGCTGCTGATCTCACTGAATTTCCTTCAGCACTGTATTAGAGCCTACAAATTGCAGTAACACCACTCTGAGGACTCATGCTTCAATTATAAACCACAATCTTGTAACTATCAGAAATCAGACCTCCTTCCTAGAACCAAATTCCCCACCAGGCAAGTACACAAATGCTACAGCGATCAATCAGTAGTTATGTAGTTCATTAAGTTTAACATTCTGTGGTCAGTACTAGATTATTCAGAGGTGATTACAAGAAATTGAAGAAATGGTATAATTTATCCCCTGTGATAACTTCCCTTATTGAAGACTGACATAAGTACTGGAAGCATTTAATGTTTTCCAACACTTTTTGTCATTAACTGTGCGTAATGATAAGGATTGCAAACATGTCTAATTCTCAACTGCATTTTTTTCCCAAAGATCTTAAAAGTCCAGGTGTTGTGATTCGCACATAGGCAGATCCAAGAGTCTTCAGGGAATTACACTGAGGTCACTTGGGGTGATGGGGGGCAGGGGTCAGAGCTATTCTTGGCCAGAATTGCTTAAATCAAATCAAAATTAGCACAAAAAATTCAGAGGTTTCCCCTTTATTTTACAGCGCTACTACAGTTACTTATCAACTGCCCTCTACCAATTCATCTTATAGGTAATAGGATGAGTAGATCATCAATGCATTCATACAAGGGCTGCGGCTACTTGATTTTATGGTTTTGCCAGTTTTGAGCCTTTTTACTTAAATAAAGAAAAGCCTTTATATTTATGTTTTCACCCTCTGATTTCAAACTGCATTATAAAGATGGACTGATAATGCTCCACCACCTCAGAATTAGGAGGTGAAAGTTTGAGTCACATTTGCAACAAGCCAGCAGCAGTCCTGGGAATTTAACTCAGGAGAGATTCAACTTGCTGTTCCATTTCCCTGATCCAGTGTCACCATTTTAATCAGTGTTTATCTGCCTCTCATTTGCCCATTGATTTTGCTCACTCGTATTTTCCGCTCGCCAAGTTTCTGGCCCAGAAAAGATTTTACCGGTGTACTTGTGCCAAGTCACAAACAATAGAACAGACTAAAAAATCAAGCATTTTATTCACTGAGTCAAAACGTTCCTTTGCTTTTAAAGGTGCTTAAAAATAAGGTATAACAAGCAGTATCAATAATAAGCACATCCATTTCTGGTTCTGTTTTGCTCAATTCTGAGCTATCAAAGATTTGTGTCTTGCTTTTTCTGATGTACAGTAGGAGTCAGATCTTTAAAAAGGACATTTCAAAGCATTATTTTCTGTCCCTGTGAGAAAAAATGATGAGCTCATTCACCTAAACCAAGTTTGATGAATAGGCCAAGTTAAAGCCCAGGAAATTTGTCCTTATGACACATTCAATTAACTTCAAATTTAGAGACATATCTATTTTAATCATACCAATTTTGGATATAAAGGTTCATTACAGAGCCTTCATTTGCAAGGAGGCTGCAAATAGGGCTGTCTTAATGAGTGGATGCCCTATTGTACATACGTAAGTGATCAAACATGTATTATTCCTTTTCTAAGAAAGGAAAACAAAATCCAAGAAAAAGTTTAAGTTTCTTCCAGGTCAAAGGATACAGCAGCAATTACATCCCTGAAGGAATATTTAATACTCCTGGAAGTGATCAGTTTCAACCATAGTAAACAACAGTCCGCTTGTTGTCACTGGGATTACACTAAAATGCTCTCAGATTAAATAACAGAAGCTATGCAAACACAAAACTGTACTTACCACTGGCGGCTTAGCTCTCATACTGCAATATCCGCTGTATTTTGTCTCCCCATCACGAGGTACTTCCGTATTGAGGGTTCCATACAGCAGAGCAGCCTGGTTATTCCTACCCAATTTGAGGTAAACTTCACTTTTCCCTCCAATCTCTACATCAGAGGAAATAACCCATTTATTTAAATCTTCTTGGCTCCGAAACTCCCACAACACCCTTGTCTGTTCCAACAGGTAATGATTCAATGGACGGCCTCCAGGTCCTATTAAGTAATCTTTGGTCTCCTTCTTCAGCATGCTTAGCTGAGTCTTTAAGACATCAATGCCCGCCTTAAAACTGAAATCAATATTTTGCCAAGATGTTTTTTTCTCAGGCTGTGACCCTGGCCTCCTGTAGCTGCTATACAGTTTTGACATGGAATTGCTGAGGAGAGGTCCAAGTAAGGGGTGCAAAACTTTGTGCCTGCAGCATCTACCATGTAAGTAAGCACTGTTCAGCAACGTAAGAGTCAGAGCCATATTGGTAAACTTGAAGAATTCACTTCCAGTAAGGCAATTAATGGGTTTGAAATTAATTTAACAACAAAATTAGTATCCAGAGCTATCTTACTTGAGTTACTGTAGTTTATCTCCACCTTTAATGAAAAAGAGAAAAGATTAAAAAAATTACATATATGATGCTTATAAAACTGTTTAATTTTGGAAACAGATAATAACTAGAAATCTAAGCCACTGGAAAAAGGAATAAAAATAACATCAAGTATTACACTTGCTCAGGGTTCTAGCTAACTTAATGATTTCCACCCTATGCGTCTTGTCCCCCCCACCCCCGTGATGTGAAATACCCATGCACATAAGAAAAACTAAGTAAAATACTTCCAGTAAAACTGAAAACAGAAAAAAGCAATTCCTGTTCATCCCTTTCACTGTAAGTAAGTTTAGGTATTATGAGTAATACCAACAAAAGCAACCTCAAGAAGAATGTTTCTAAAAGATAGCGTCTATATAACTATAAAGTATATTCCCCTGCAAGAAAATCACAAATTCACAACAGGTAGATTCTGTTGCCATGTGGACCAGGATGACAGTCTCATCTGACAGTCACCAATGACAAGACTTTTCAGATATGAAGTCCTACAGCAGCCATACTACATGCTTCTTTCATAAGTCATCCAGCTCGTTGCCCCCTCAACATATCTGGTGTAGGATTACAGAGGTTTGTGCAGACCAAAGCATTTAAAAAAGATGACTGCAATTCAATAGTTTTTTTTATAAAGTTTTGGAAAAAATCTGAAAAAATCTCCTTGCTTCTCTCTGCATCACTGCTGGTAGGAAGAGCTATGCCGTATTTGCTATTCTCTAATTCATAAAGGAGAGCCTTAACATTCAATGCTCTGTACAGAGGCTATTATCTCTGACTCATAAAATTAGACAGACTAGTGTCTAAAAAAGCCTGGTTTGTTTGTTTGTTTGTTTTATTTTGTTTTTTGCCACAATAAATCCTAAAATGATGTCAAATCAGTTCATCTTCTCTGAGCTTTTAGGAATGGGAGCCAGTCACCCCACATATGTTCTCTATATGCCACATACCTTCCTTTAGTCACAGTAAAATTCACTACTATTATTCTCATGATCCGATTAAGCTATGCACCGTGGAATAAAACCCCATTGAAGGAAGTCACATTTTCTCTATCGCACATTCGGCAAGACAGAAGGCAAGTTCCTAAAAAAAGAAAACCCATGCGCAGGGCTTCCACGTCCCTTGGGACTAAGCATGAAAGCAACGAGAGCCTGCACAGTGACCCGGGCTGTCCCTGGGCCCCGCCTGCAACCCTGCCCCAAACCAAAACGCACCCAGCAGAAAGGAAAGGTACAGACAAGCTGCAGCGCGCAGTCTCGTCCTTGTTTCCTCCGAGTACCAAGGCGAAAATGGGGAATTTCCACACATTTTACTTTTGCCCGATTTTTGTCCCTACGCGACGTTTTACCGACCTAACGCCAGCACCGACTCACCGCCCAGCGGTTACAAAACCTCGGCTTCTA